TGGACAAAAAAAAAAGTATCCAATATCCTTGTCAATGAATAATGCACATTTTGACTTATATTATAATTCAGAAATGCCATGCACCTATATTGCTAGAACAAAATAATTTTAGCTGACACCACATTATACCAAGACTCTATTTTAGCCAACATACCCACTTTCTAGTTGTTTGTATTGGCATCAGTCAAACTCACATTGGTTGACAAATGGGGGATTGGGTTATATTTTATAGCACATTGCGTTATTATAGGTATTGGCGGATTAAGCTAATATTTATATGCATAATATGAGACTTTTTTCACCGGGATCAAACAAGCAAAACTTGATTTCCAGGTTTTAAAACTACTGTTTTATTTGACTTAAAGCATGCAATTTTATTTACTGTCAATGACATTTTTGTTTAAAAAGAGGCCATGCAGTACATGTTTATAATATCAGCAATAACAGAAAATCAGTAGGCCTAATTATCATTACTAGTATAAAAATACTATAAAATTCTGATCACCACCATATCTGAACATAAAATCATACAAACTTGACTCCAATATATATCTATTTTATACTTCATAATTGCTTGACAAAAGCAGTTTGAATTGACAACAGACTTATTTCTGCTTTGGACAGACTTAAAAGTAAATAAAAGTAACAGTAGACGGTAATCAAAGTGTAAAAGTTTTAATGTAACAGAAGTAGCACCAGACTGTTTCTTTTGTATTGAAAAAAAATTATTGAAAAGAAACAATTGCGGAGTCCAGTCGGTTGTTGATTGGATGGAAGCAGATCTGAATGCAACTGAAATTGGTAGGATTTAAGAAGACTAAATGATTGGAGAAATCAGAAATATGTCTTGTCATGTCATTGAACAGATGCAGACATTTTAATTAAACATTAGGATCAAACAGTTTTAAAAATGTGAAACAAGCATGAAAGAATCTATGACAGGCATATAGAAAGTAGCTATGAAATTCCATGCATTTCACGCCGACTTTAAACCATGCACCATTCTACACAATCGGTCATTCAAAGCCTCTCAAATTAAAATCCTATAATTCAGCACCAAACAAATCTAAAAACCCACTAAAAGGCTTTCATCTCACTAATGGGTGTCCTAAAACTGTGAAATCAATGCGCTCCTCCCTTGTCTGGCTTCGTCTTCTTCCTCAATGCAGGCACATATTTGGTGAATGATGTCACTGAGACGATCACCGAGCGCTACTGAGGGAAGCAGCAGTTCTGCTGGCGTAACACGCATCAAGCACAAAAGGAATTCTGACTGAAAAACCTGCACCGACCCCTGTGTCATTTCAAAGCTGAGGCACTCCAGCATTAGGAAGTGAAGGGGAAATGGCTGAAAGCGTTTTTGGAAAACAGGCAGTCTGGAGGGAGGAGGAAAAAAAACTTGAACAATGCCCATATAGGGGCTGATAGCAAATGCCCCCGCCGTAAGGGAAACATTTCCCCTCAGGGGGCAGTAGATCGAGAGGAAATGGTGCAGCTTTTGGGCCACACAACAACATTTTCTCAACCCGCCCTCAGAGTGACAGGCCTATGCATACTGACAGAACACTCAACATTCCATGCGTTACTCTGCGAAAGAATGGCCCCATCCAAAAACACTTAAAAAACAATCACTCCAAGCATCACTGACTTACATTCTTCCTTAACAGAGATATTTTGAATAACGTACTGGTTGCACTTTTCCATTTGTAAGCTTCAAAACAGTTCATTACATTACTAATGACCACGGCTTCATCCATATCTAGATTTGGAAAATTACGAGGTTGAACACTTTCTCAAGCCAAATTACAGTAGATATGAATTTCCATCATTTGGACCAGCGGCTAATAAGAAGATGACTTAAAACTATAACTCTGCAGGGAACAGTGACGCCATCCAATGGACAATCTATAACAGAGTCTAAGACAACAACACAGATTGTTCAGGGCAGATGGGTACTCAGAATGACAGTGGAGAAGAGCCAAATTGGGACGGCTCCATTCTCACCCCCTACATACACCTGAATATGTGCGTGCCCGCTTCAGCAAACTGACACGACAACCCTCATCGGAAATTGCGCTGGCATCCCATCTGATATGGAAGGAGGAGGGGCCGACGTGGAGAAGAATGCAGATGGTCTAGATTTGGTCGCAGTATGGCATCTGCCCATAAACAAAAAAAGCATTATCTGCCTTTTCTATAAGAGATCTTCAAGAAACCGTGTGCACAAGCACAGCTGACTGTGCAGTTGCATGTAAGTTGTGTATGTAATATGCATAAATTACAGTACAAACACATGCACACCCTTAAGGCCGTTATGTTCTTGCCAAAGAGGGTCCTCTATCATTTGAATCATGTGATGTTGGTGTTTATTAATATCAGTGGCATCTAAGCACGAACAGGATGTTGACTCATCGCAAAATGCATATAGCTTTACATAACAGTAACTACATCAGCCCTGCCCTGAAACTAGAGTATGACACAATAAATGAAATTAACGTTAAACAGGATCGTCTTGTTCCAATCCTTAGCATCTTTCAGTAAAAAGACTGCGCTGACTGCACTGTATTTGAGATTAAAAGGGATAGGTCACCCAGAAACGTAAATTCTGTCATTATTAACTAAGATCTTAGAGCTATGGTACCTATGAAAGTCATCAGAATGTTATGAGGGTGTGTAAATGATGATAGAATTGTAATTTTGGGGTGAACTGTCCCTTAAAGCTTTTTTGCCCATTATGTAATTAGAATTGAAATTGACCCGCCACGGCTCAATGCAGTTGATCAATATGACGCCTAAAACCACACAAGCCTCTAATCAAAAGGCATTGACTGTTAGAGCACACTTACATTTCATTAACTCACATATTGTTAAAACAATGCTTGTATTCAAGCCTTCTAAGTCTAACAGAGACTTTTAAGGCAACGCACCATGTTTCACTTCCACAGCACAAACATGAACTATTATCTACCCTGCCCAACAGACTATAAACAGCTACAGTTACCCTTCTCTAACACAAGCTAGCTGCCCTCAAATCCAAAGGACTTCCTCAAAATTAGGAGTAGAAAATAATTCCCTGAGCATTCCCAGGCATCCATCCTGAACAAACGGTGATTGATCAGTACTCATGACACATCTTCGTTAATGTCATTCAAAACAAAGATGTATAAACCAGTTTAAACTCCCCTAGAGGCTTCAAAGGTAGCACCGACCAGCATGGTTTTTCTGGTGAAGCTTGTTGATCAAGGAAGTCTTGTTTAAGGACATTAAGAAAGATCAAGGAAGTTAAGAAGCCTGCTGGTGGCACCAGATTACCAGCATCCAAAACAAAGGTCTTTTCATCACGGTGGCTTATCAACAGCGTCCTGCTTCTCGTTTCATTTACACAGACTGAAATCTTACTGCGTTCTTGTAATCTTTTTAACCTTCACACCATCAACCACATTCTCAGCTACTCTAAAAACCCCACAGTTTGACTGTGGGACCATCAGATATCAGCAGCCCCCACCTTATCCTCCCTTTATCTGTGATCTCAAACTGAAGGGTCATATGTTGGCCCCAAACTTGACAAACTGTGGTGAGAATGAAGACGGCTGTTCAGTGTTGTAGTGATGTTTCAATTGGGATTTGGGTGCAGTTAAACACTAAAGATGTCAGCAAAGTTGTAAATGAGTGAACATGTTGCCTTCAAAAGCAATCACGTGCTGCAGTCCTGCTGAAATTCTCCAATAGTAAACCGAAATCTGTTATTGTAGGTTGTATCAGCCCGTAGCGTAAATAAAGAGATGATCACAAGTAACATTCAAGACACTCAGAAAAGACGTTTTTCGTTCGTCAACAATGTAGAAATGCATTATATGGTTAAAACAAGCTCATTGAGACAGACAGTAAACATACACACAGTAAAGCAGTAAATAAACAGCGTTAGATTGCACTACTGCTCAATGTAACGTTAGATAGAGTCCGTTGGGCTAAGCTAGTTACGTTAGAGTAACGTTAGCGCTCGTGCTAGTCCCAATTCATTACAGAAAACCTGCAACGACTGTGTACATCTGAGTGAACACGGGTCTCTGGAAGTAAGAACTGACTGAAAAGGGTACTTACAGAAAATATGTCTACATCCGTGGCCGCCATGATGAGGAATGTACGTGTTTAGATCAGGCGAAAGGGAGCTGTCTGTCTGCCCTCGTCTCTCTCACCGTCCGCTGACGCTGACACACACACACACACACACTCTCACACACACACACACTGTGGTTGGGATGGAGAATTTACGAACCGTACTATGGTGAAAGCCGTGCTTATGAATTTAAATGACGCAATGTGACGCTCTGCGCTGATTGGCTGAAAGTCCGAACTAAGGAATCCTACCACGCCCAGAACGTTTGATTTTCAACGGCCGCTTGAATATTAACTAGGTGACGCCACTAGACAGTTCAGGATCATTACGTAGCAGGTTGATACGACCTAATTAATATTCATGAGATAACATTTCGCCATACTAGGATTCGTAATTTCACAAAATCAAAACTCAATATGGCTTCTTCCTGGAAACTCCCACTGACTTCAGGAATGTCTTTTCTTAAGACATGGCCAGGTAGAGCTTCTAAATAAAGAAATATGCAAGTAATTATCAATCATGACTTCAAACCGTTTAATAACAAGCATAATGTTCGTTCAAACACACTCGCATGGGAGAGTACAGGCAATTTACTGATTGATATTATTTTATTTTCAATCATTTAACAGTTACTAGCTCCTAAATGATTTAACTAGCTCAGCTGAACACCTTTATCCTTTACAAATTATGTTAAAATAAATAAAAGACTTCATTTAAGAATCGTTTTTAAACTTTTGCACAGCTCCGCCCCCACCCACGTCTTACTTCTTCTTCTTCTTTTTTATTACGCGTCGCTGCATTCATTCCGGAAAACAGGTAAGGGCGTGGCGACAGTCCAGGTGTCCTCGAGAGACGTATGTTTATATTTCAGACGAAATAAGAAATGGCTTTGACTCAAGAGGCGATTTTAAACACACTATTAGAAAGCAAAGGAAAGGTGAAAAACTCCGAGCTGCTGAGCAAGTTCAAAGATCTACTAAACTGCAGTGATCCAGCGGAGAAGAAACAGAACCGAGATCTCTTCAAAACCTTTGTGAACAACATTGCTGTCGTGAAAGACTTCCAGGACGCCAAGTATATAGTCCTAAAGAAAGTGTACCATCATTTACTAGAAGCCTCAAACGACGAAAGCGCACCAACAGAAGATTGCGGTCGAGATGGATCACATCCAGAAGAAGATGAGAAGGAAAAATCCACTCATTCCCAAAATGCAGAAGGTAAGAAGTCTGAACAGAAAGCTCTGAGCAGATCTTCGTCAAAGGCTTCAGACGGCAGCGCAGAACTCTCCCCAATAGAGATTGCTTTGGAAAGAAGCAAGAATGTGGACTTTAAACCTAAAAGGTCTTTGCATTTCACCGTCCCGCTGAAGCCTGACCCCGATTTCTCGGGAGCCGCCAAGAAAGAAGCAAGCACAAACAAACCGTATGCTCTACCTTTACGAATGCCCCAAATAGACTTGGGTCATCATCACAAGAAGCCTTCCACTGAGAGCTTGGGACAAGAGCTTCAACCCTCGCCTCGGTGTACAGACAGCGTGGCCTGCGCTGGTGCCTCGCCGCAGTTACAGAGACACTTCAAGACCCCTACACAAGCGGATGAGCCCAAGGACTCGCACCATTGCCCGCTTGATCCCGTGGAGCACGAGTGGCTGGTGAAGTCTGCGGCCGGACAGTGGAATCAAGTGTACGGCTTGCTGTTAAAAGACGCCCAGCTTGCAGAGAAGAAGGACTTCATGTCAGGGTTCACGGCTCTGCACTGGGCCGTCAAGTGTGGAGACGCTGACATGGTGTGTACGATTATTGAGGTGTCTAGGAAGAGCGATCATGGGGTGGACGTCAACGGCAAGTCCAATGGTGGCTACACACCGCTTCACATCGCTGCCATCCACCTTCAGCTCTTTCTGATTGACCTTCTAGTCCGAAAGTACGGCGCCAATGGGAACATAAGGGACAACTGCGGTAAGAAACCCTACCACTACCTGGACACAGGGGTCTCCAGAGAGCTGAGGGAGCTTCTCGGAGATCCGAAAGCTGGCCACCGGGAGGTGCATCATCAGGTCAGGGATGAGTATGATGCACGGAAATACTCGATAGGTCACCTCTTCCTAGCTCATCCGGTGGGGCTCAAGAAAAAGAACAAGGCGAGAAACCAGTTCATCTCCGTCAGTGACGACGGCAGAGAGAGGGATGAGCCAGTGTTGCATAAACTGAGGCTGGTATCCGATGTCTTTCCATAACTGAGACTAAATGTGGATTATGAGTTTGTTTTGGAGACAATATTTGTGACCCTAGAGCACAAAACCAGTCATAAGTAGCAAGGTTATTTTTGTAGCAATAGCCAACAATAATACATTGTATGAGTCAAAATTATCGATTTTTCTTTTATGCCAAAAATCATTAGGATGTTAAGTAAAGATTATGCTCCATGAAGATATTTTGTAAATTTTTCTACTGTAAGTATATCAAAACTTAATTTTTGATTAGTAATATGCATTGCTAAGTACTTCATTTGGACAACTTTAAAGATGATTTTCTCAATATTTAGATTTTTTTGCACCCTCAGATTCCAGATTTTCAAATAGTTGTATCTCGGCCAAATATTGTCCTATCCTAACAAACCATACATCAATGGAAAGCAATTTAAAATAAAATACCCTTATGACTGGTTTTGTGGTCCAGGGTCACATTTGTGATCTAAATGAATCAGCCTTTATCTGAGATTCTAGAAGAATTGTGTATTTCCAAAGACTTCTTTTAAAGTTTATTTTTAATACGAACGACGATATAACCTGCCGTTCAAACCACTTTTTAAAGAAATTAATACTTTGATTCAGCAAGAACACTTTGTGTTGATCAAAAGTGACAGTAAAAATATGTATGTTACAAAAGATTTCTGTTTCGTGTAAATGTTGCTCTATATTGTCCTATCCTAACAAACCATACATCAATGGAAAGCAGTTTAAAATAAAAGACCCTTATGACTGGTTTTGTGGTCCAGGGTCACATTTGTGATCTAAATGAATCAGCCTTTATCTGAGATTCTAGAAGAATTGTGTATTTCCAAAGACTTCTTTTAAAGTTTATTTTTAATACGAACGACGATATAACCTGCCGTTCAAACCACTTTTTAAAGAAATTAATACTTTGATTCAGCAAGAACACTTTGTGTTGATCAAAAGTGACAGTAAAAATATGTATGTTACAAAAGATTTCTGTTTCGTGTAAATGTTGCTCTTTTGGACTTTCTATTCATCGAAGAATCCTGAAAAATAAATGTATTGCAGTTTGCACAAAAATATGAAGCAGCACAACTGTTTTCAAGATCGATGATAATCAGAAATGTTTCTCGAGCAGCAAATCAGCATATTAGACTGATTTCTGAAGATCATGTGACACTGAAGACTGGAGCAATGATGCTGAACATACAGCTTTGATCACAGAAATAAATGTCATTTTACGATATATTCACATAGAAAATGGTTATTTTAAATTATAGTAATATTTCACAATAATATTGTTTTTACTGTATTTTTAAGCAAATAAATGCAGCCACGGTGAGCAGAAAAGTCTTCAGAAACATGAAAAATCTTACCAAACTGTTGCGTACTATACGTGTATTGATGTTTTTTTTTCCCTCCAGATTTAAATGTAGCAATTACTGATGATTGTAAATCATGAGGTTATTATGAGGGCTATTTGTCTTAGGGAGCGTAACTCATTGGGAGCGGCCTAATTGTTATTTTCTGGCTGTTTAGGCATCACATGTTTGCACACGTTCACTTAGGTGTTGTGACAAGCTGGGCAACATTTTAGAGAATATTTTCGTATTTAATGTAGATGTTAAAACAAATATCTGAACACATTCAGGTCATGTTTTATACTGATCAACATGCTTATTTTTAGTCATGCATAATCCTGCCATGATCAAGGAACACCTGTAATTATGGGATCTTATATTCTAATGCCATGATCCCTAAACAATAAATACATTTTCTTACTCAAAAATGTCTTCATATATAAAGATGAATGAACACTTTTATTTAGTTTATGTATATATGAGATATTGTTTCTTGAGCCAGCGATGAATAAGAACAGATTCAGACTCGTGTGAGCTGGTTAACACTCAGCGGTTAGTCTTGCTGACCATGTGTGCTTGGTTTTAGAGATCACCCTTGCATTGCTGATCTGAGATCAGTAGTGGTTAATAAAAAAAGCCACAATTTAGATTGAGGAAAAGAAAGCGGTGCTGGGAGTTTAAGCCAACATGGGCCCTCATGGATGACAAGATAGAAAGTGAACAGTTTTGCTTACAGCATATATATATATACTGTATATACAGTGGTGGCCAAAGTGATTAGAACAGTAGTATTTTCAGCAGCTAAACATGGTTTTAAGTCAGTTATTTCTATGTTTTGCTGTAGTGTGTCAGTAGGAAATATCAGTTTTATGACAGCATCCTCATTTTACAGCATTTTTACACAAGTGCCTAAAACATTTAACAGCTTTGCAGGAGGTTTCTTGAAGCGTCTTGGAGACGTCTATATAACAAACATTTAAGTTTTTTATTATGTTGTGACATTATTTACATTTGCGTGATGTTTACATGACATTTCCCCTTAAATTTTCAGATGCATCATGACAATATAAAAATGTGTATGGCCAAATAGTCTTTAAACAGGCTATTTTAGAAGTATCTAAATAAATGTAATTATAATATTACCTATTTGAATTAGGCTAAACATCAAACAAATCAAGTTATTTTTATTCATGAAGCACAGATTTTCACAATCTACATTATTTCAAAGCCTTTTTACAGAAACATTTGCCTTAAAGCACAATACACTCTAAAAAATGCTGGGTTAAATACAACCCAGTGCTGGGTAAAAAGGGGACAAACCCAGCAATTGGGCTGTTTTGACCCAGCGGTTGGGTTAAATGTTTAACCCAACCTTCTGGGTAGTAACCCAACCGCTGGGTCAAAACAACCCAATTGCTGGGTTTGTCCCCTTTTTACCCAGCACTGGGTTGTATTTAACCCAGCATTTTTTAGAGTGTGCAGCTAAAAATATTATCTGTCAAGTTCTTGTGAAACAAACACTTAAGATGCACGGTGAGAGTGAAGTGTGTCGTTTACATACTTTATTCACAGTAAAATAAAGAGAATGGAATTTATGCATTCCACGTGACAATAAGCTGGAAACCGCAAGATAAAAAAAAAACAATACTCAGAAAACCAACAAGACAAAACAGCACTCACTGATGAACTAGGTCTTTCACCTGATTTAGGATTTTGTTTTTGTTTTCAGGCCATATGAACATGAACTTGACAGAAAACTATGTGTATGGCATATCGAGGAGCAAAAGCAATGTATTCCACAAGAAATGCTACTGAAAATGAGGAGCGAGCGCTGAGAAATGCATTTCTGAGAGTTCAATTTCCTAGACATATTAAAATAAATTTTTTGCAAACCCAAAATGCAATTTAAAGCTGGTTTGGGTGGTCTAATGATTTTTTTCTCGAAGTGCACAACACATACACTGACGTGCATTTGTAAAGTGAACGGGTCAGCAGTAAGTGGACAGAAATAATAATGCTTCCAAAACAAGTACAAAATAAATCCAGCATAACCCTGATAAGTACCAAAACATTTGGGTTTTTGAAAACATTCGGAACACGCGAGTAACATATGGATTCATTATTGCGCACAGAAACAACTACCCAGCTAACAAAAATATGTTGCTAATGTTCCCATTCAGTTCTGGAAAAGTTGTGAGAAAGTTCTCTGAATGTTTATGTAGTTAATGTAAAAACAGCATGAAGATGGTATATATAAATATGAGTTTAATAAAAAAAATGTACTAATTAGCCTATTATTAATGAAGGCCAGTATCACCGATACCAATACTGCTACTGATAAATGCATTTCCGCCCTCAATTAAGAAAATTACAGTGACTTTACCACGGGTTGTGTAACTTCAGCTGCTGGGGGTAACACATTACAAGTAACGCCAGTTACATAATCAGATTAATTTAAACAAGAAAATATTTGAAAAAGTTACTTTTTTATATTAAAATCAAACAAGCAAGCCCAGCCCAGCTGAAAAAAAAGTTATGTAACACATTACTTTCCACAAAAAGTAACTAACACAATTAGTTACTTTTTTTTTTTTTAAAGAGTAACGCAATATTGTAATGCATTACTTTCCCCAACACTGGCAACGATGGCAGTTACATAATACAGACTTCAGTCGTTTCACCAGACACATCTTTAAAGAGATTCTTCAAAAAATACTTGATCATTAAATACACATACGACATGATAGTGGCAAATGAAATTACTAGACAAAAGGGCATGAATGAAATAACGAAGCCCTGAAATCATTACGAATGAACACTTAGGATGCATTACAATATCCAAGCTCATGGTTCCTAATGAGTATGTGCAGTTTATTATCAAAGGTGCTTCTTTCTTCCGTTTTTGGTCGTGATCTGTGATTTATTTTAGAGTGCATTTGTCATTCATCTACTTCAAGCTCTCATTAAACCATTCCTGGGCTCTTAAATAAAGCTTTCCATGCTTTCGAAAGTCAGCTTAACACGATTCACAAATATCAAATGAAACATAGCATCTCAGGCTCTGTGAAACAAACGGCACCTTCAGGTGTTACAGAGCCACGTGCAGGAGTCTGATGGAGGTAAACTGCAGAGTAAGGCCTCGAGCTGCTCCTCTCCTAAACGCTGTTTCTCATCGAGGTCTTTCTGACGGATGAGTAAAGAGGCCTTGGTCTGAATGAAGCGCCGGTACTCCTGCAGCTGTGTGTCCGTCAGCTGTTTGGAGAGGAAGGTGGAGACCACGCGCTCCCGCCGGTCCAGGTTATCCTTTAAGTCTTTGGCGTCCTCCCTCTGTTTGCACAGGAGACGGTAGCGGCTGTCCAGAGATTGCTGTGGGTCGACGAAAGTTGGAAGGATCACAATTCTGCTCATTTGTGACCCTGTACCACAAAAGCAGTCATAATTTTTTTAAGTTGAGATTTATGCATCATATGAAAGCTGAATAAATAAGCTTTCCATTGATGTATGGTTTGTTAGGATAGGACAATATTTGGCCGAGATGCAACTATTTGAAAATCTGGAATCTGAGGGTGCAAAAAAATCTAAATATTGAGAAAATCACCTTTAAAGTTGTCCAAATGAAGTTCTTAGCAATGCATATTACTAATCAAAAATTACGTTTTG